CACACACACACACACACACACACACACACACACACAGAAAGACAAACAGTAGGCTCAGTCACAGGCCATCCAGATACCAAATGTGAGAGGGAAATATGTGAAGGAGCTGCCAGGTGCTTTGGCTAGACTTTAGAAACGCAGCATGAATCTCCTTCTCCTCCCCCTCTCCTCAGTCCTCAAACGATGAATTCAAATTTAAGCTAGCACGAAGAACTGCAGACTGTTTCCACACAACCAAGCAAATTAAATAAAGTTTAAAGAAAGAAAACTAAATCTAAACATGACTTCGCAGCCTAATAAATTTATTTTAACAGTTATAAACAGATCTTTTTATGGGACTGAAAATGCTGAGCCAATAAATGGAAGGAGAAGTACAGTGGGGAGTGGGGGCGATGGTGACTCAAAATCCGAGTTTTCTGGCAAACGGACATTAAAGAAGGGGAAGCACAGAGACGGAAATGGGGTTGGAAGAACGGGAGCAGATTCCTGGAAGGGCACCTGCTGTAAAAGCCAGATGTTGCTGCATTCAGAAGCCAGCTGTTTTTGTCCTCGTTGGGACAAGCTTCCATGCCATCATGCTGGATGAGATTTAGACTCTAAGATCTTGTTATTAGTCACTATTTATTTCATGACCACAATAGTTGATCATTCTAGCTGCATATTATTTTCAAACAAGGGTGCCCAAACATTTTCCCTGAGATGGCCAAAATTAAAAAGCATTTTCCCTGAGAGGGCCAAAATTAAAATCAATCTGAGGGCCACGGGTGAAATGCATTAGTATAAGAAATGCTTAATACTTAAGTAAAGTTGTTTTATTTTTTATGATTAAGCTAGCAGCCAGTGTGGTTGCCCACATTCTTTAGGTTTTTTTTCAGCCCATGGACATGGAGAAAATTCAATGTATGCTAAGGCAGCAAAGGCTCATGGGACTTTTCATAATTTAAAATTTGAGTATATGTGGTCGTATAAGGTGTGCAAATCTATATATGGGCTTAAATCTAATCTAAATGTCTCTTGTAGTTACTTGTATCTTATATTACATCTTAACATAATTACAATCTAATAACCAGGACAACTGCTGGTGGGCCAAATCAAATGGCTCGGCGGGCCAATTTTGGCCCATGGGCCCCACTTTGGGCACCTCTGTTTTCAAAACTCCTGATTCAAGATAAAAGTTTCTTTAGCTAAAGAATACAAGAGAATCTGACTTATGTCCCTATGTGAAAAAGATGACAAAAGGTGCAAATAATAATACACAAGATCTTATTGTTWATCTGGCTAATTCTGCTATTTTTAACCCAGTTAACAACATCTAAAGGCAACAATGCCTGTCTTTTAACTAACTTAAACATAGAAAAACTCCTGTTTTATGTTTATTTTCAGTACGTGTTCAATAATTTTTTCTGCAGACATAAATTTGACAATAATTCAGATCCTCAGGGAAGAAGATTACAAATGGATTCCTAGCTTTAGTGTTCTTGCAGAAAAGTTATGTGGCAAAAAAATGACAATGACAAWTTTTTTCTGGCAAGTCATTATCTTTATCTTTTGTGAGGTCCATCATCTCCTCAGCTGAGGTTGTTTAAAAAAGACTGTAGTCAGAAAGTGTTGGTATAAATAGAGTGCTGCCACACATCAGAGTTAGAAAAAAGAGCTATAATAATTTGGGGGGAAAAAAACGTGGAGCATCCTGACAAAAATCAAGACCTGAATTCAATCAAAAATCTGTAAATGGAAACCTCATTTTAAAAAAAGAAGCCTTTCAGGCTCAAGAACTTAAGGGTCCAAAATCCCAGTGGAAACATTTGAAAGGAYGACTGTATTTAGAAGAACTGATTTGGTTGCTGGAATGACAATGTGTGGGTTTTCCTCCTGATCATGAGAAATGCATGAATTATTTTGAACACGGATTTTTCCGTAAAAATATGAGCAAAACAGTGAAAATATCAGATTTAATCATTATTATCATTTAAACCTGCTGCACCTTGTTTCACAATCAGATCTGAAGCTAACTGGCAGAAACTTACTCCAATTTATTTAATTTGTCAAAATGGACCATTAAACTGACATTTTCAATGTAAAAACAGTTTATTTCWTATTTAATTGAGAGAGACTGATTAAATAGATATTAAAATAACTATTTTACCCTATTTTTACACTGTGTAATACCCTTACTTACCTAATCATTTATAAATGGCAAGAGAACATTTAAATTGATTAAGATTTTGGTCTGATTTCCACAGGTGAAAAGGAACTTGTGGCCCTTCAAGTTTTTTTTACATGAACAAATACGTAAAAAAAAGCATAGTCTTCCTTTTAGAAGGATTCACAAAAAAGTCTTCACTACCTTATTATTGATACACTGCAGGATTAATAGATGGTCATTTCAAACATTCTCTAACCATTAATACATGTCTAACACATGCTGTGAAAGTACATTTATATGAGCATTTACATACATACACACACAGCGTATRGAATAGTTAATTCAGGAGTTATTAAGCAGGAATAAACAATAAGTATGTTTGTTTTGGAAGTAATTAGCCTTTCTGGGTAAAGCATTTTAAATAGAAATTGTTCTAAATTAATGGTGTTTTCAAGATTAACTAATCATTTATTAATGAATTAAATGAATGAACCTTAAAGCTAAATAAGGTGTAGCTATAAAATGCTACCATGTTTCCAATCTAATTTATCAAGGATTGATGAACCAGYCTTTAAGTAATAATACAGTCATCCTTCCATGATTTAGGGTGTATTCAGACCAGGAAAGTCCTTTGGTCCGGACCAAAAATGGACTTTTTTTTTTTTGTTTGGTGCGGTTTGCATTCACATTGTGCTTTTTTGCAAATGAACTATAACTTGTAAACAAAGTCACGAGGCTGACGACCATTGCTCCCATTGGACAAAAAAAGGACGGGGGCGGGACTGAGCCACAGATCCAGAAGAAAACAAGGAAGTCCTGCATGCTGCGGTTCTGATGCGCACATTTTTGCTGATAGTACAACTGCAATAGCATTTAAAATGTCAGAAGCAGCTAATTTAATGGTGGTTCCATGATGATATTCTAATTTTGAAGCGACGTCACGTAAATGTGACCCGTGACCCAAAGGAGACGAGGTGCGCTGCGTGTTCTGACTCACAACATGCTGGCAGTAGAGC